TGTCTTGTTTCTGTGAGAAGGGAGGCTTTTTTTTCCTTGCCTTTTTTTTTTTTTTTAAAGTTATCAGTTGCCCTCCTCCTCCCCAAGTACACAGCTTGAAGGATTTACAGCACAAGTCCAGGTTTCAGCTCTGTGTTTTCAAAGCATGAAGAGAAAAAGAGAGTATCCGAAGAGGACAAAGGCAAGTTCTCAGATAATGCAGAGGATATATTATAGCATATGCTTTAGACACATGCTCTCAAGCAAAAAACCTCACAAACAATAGGATAGAGCACAATTGTTTCTAGATGCTCATCTGTTAAGACATTTTTGGAATCGTACTTTCAGCTTCACATATTCTTTATGCTAATTCATGGTGCCCCAGCTCATTCCTGCCCTCATGCTGCTCCCTCTCTGTGCCAGGGTAAGGATTTATGTGGTGGCAGGTGAACCAGATCGAAGAACTGATCCATGTTAAAGTTAACCGTAAAAAAGCGGAGGGTAATTTTAATCTGGATCAGAGAACTGATCTCATTTATTGAACAGCTGCATAGATTTTCTTTGACTGCATCAGGGAAGATGGAAGTGTAGGGAGGGACAGAATGGGTGGAGGAAGGCAACATTACTTCTTTTGATAGCAATGCTGATCTGTGCCATTTTACAGCATATGAGAAATTACAGACTATGAGTAGACTGACTTTTGGAGCAGAGTGAATTAACTTATTCTCCAAATTAGTGTCAGGCCCTTACAATGTATCATAGATAACCAAATCTGGTTTTAAAGAGGAAAAATAATTTTGTTAAAGGGGCAGTGAACTTATTTTGGTTTGTCTCATAAATCACTAATTTATAATGGTCAAAGGTGAGTCTTTTTAACTAAATCCTGTTATATAACTTCTTTAACAAACTTTCTTTTGTTTAAAGAGTTGTCTTGAAACAGGTAAATCGACAAATACCACTTAAGATAGATTACGAAATCTTTTAAGTTGTTTCTGTTCATCAGAGTACAGGCATTTCAGAATTCATTATCTCTTTTTCTTAGCAATCTTAGGTTTCTTGTATTCATTGTATTGCTTAAACACTTAAAGGTAACATATTAATTTCCAATCTGTATAAATATTTTTATCAGTTAGCAGTCCAGCCAAGTGTCTGGATTCTATCTATGTAAATATAACATTTATCTTTCACATACTAATGATTTTAGAATGGTACTACATTGTAAATTGTGCGTTGAAGCAAAATATCTGCAAAACCATATCTCAAAAAAGCTTGGGGACATCTTTGAACAGTAAGGGATAAATGTGGTTTACACCGTTCAGACGAAATATGATTTAGGTAGAAGTAACCAACGATTTTTCATAAGCATTTAAAGTACAGTGCTTTTCTTTCTTAGTATGAATATTTTAGGGTACGTATAGAGAAAATTCTTAAAGAACCTTTCTGAAGATTTAAAGCAGATTTTCTTTTTTCCTATCGCTCACAGGTGTGGAAGAAAGGCTGTGACATAGCATATAACATGACTCGGAACACATTCCCGTATTCGTCTTCATTCTTAGACAGGACATGTTTATCCTCTAACACCTTTCCTGGAAATCAGATCCCTTGCTAAGAAGCAAATGTAGTATAGGTTTGTCTTACTGAGATGATATCTAGATCACATCTAAGAAAAATCTGTCTTAAATGGGGTAGCTCAGGGGTCACTAAATTTATAGCAAGCATTCTGGTTTGTTGACAGTGACTTGTTTTTTTTTAAATGAAACTATTTCTATCTTACGGATTTTCTATTTGTAGTACACCTGTAACTTGTAATTGGAGAGTGTAGTTAAATTCTTTGCATAAAGCACACTTCTTAATGGAAAAATGCTTATACACCTTTAAAATATGTAACATGAAAAAAATGGTATAGAAGTTTACAGTAAAAGATCTCCTCTAAAAGCTGTTTGGTTTACATATGTAGATACACTTGGTCTTTTTTATCTGCAACAGTAATTTTTTTTCTGACACTGCAGGCATGCCCCTGGGTCACAGAAAGCAGAAACTTCCTGGAATTTCTTTAGAAAGCCTGAGCTTTCCATGGAGTAAAACTGGTGACAAAAGGTATGAGCATATATGTTGTTACGTTCTCTAACTACTACAAGTACAAACTTAGTTGTAATTGTTGCTTAAACTTCACTAGAGGCACTGCACAATTGTACTGATGACACAACATTGCAAACTGGCAAATGCTGTTTGTTAAATCTTGTGTTACCTTTACAACTTGCAACTATCCTGTCAGTCAATTGTGTTTGGGTTCAAGTGGTATGCCTCTTACCCTTATACCTGGGTGAAGTATTTCTTAGTAGCTAAGAGTGCCTTCAGAACAAAGAGGGCCAGTAGGAGGATTAGTGGGAGCTTGTGATAAGCCATCTTTACACTTCCATCTCTTCTAACTCTGTGTGATAGAACAGCTTATCTAATGATTAAGAGATAGGGATGTAAAGGGACAGCTATCTCGGATTCAACCTAATTATCACAGGAGAAATAATTATGGAGTGTTTTTAAAATGCTTAGAGCAGCAATAGAAAGAAGTGAAATAGATTATATCAGCATCCCTAACAGGCACTGCTTCAGAGGCTCACTCCTTAATGATCTGCTTATGATGAGATGTTTCACACAAAGGGCATCTTTCATCTGTGTGCTGGCTGACGGTTCTGAGACTAAACAATTTAAACAGAAGTATCCTCTCAGTTTCTGCTAAAGTCCTCTAGACAATTTTACCAAATTCCCAAGCTGGCTTCTGCTCTGCCATCCTAGGCAGCCCCCGAATGCCACCCACCTGCATACCCAGGCTCTATAGCAGCACATGGAAGCTGCTTTCTGAATGAATGGTAAGAAATACCAGATCTAATGTTGGAAAACACCTCTCCAACAGGGACATGCACACCCAGACATCTAGGCAACAGATTCTGGATTCAGACTATGAGGGGGGTGACATTAGTAACTCTGCTGAGCACTTCTACCATAACATTTGCAATAAAGAATTATGTGGAACTAGTATTTCATCTTGGAGTTCTGAAAACAATAAACAACAGCATAAGAAGGAGGAATTATAGTCTCTGCAAATGGCAGCCTCCCCCCCTCCCTTAAAGTTTAGATTTAGCTTCAACGTGTGTCAAGATATTTTACAAGAACCAATGATTCTTCCAGTCTTTCTAAGTGGAGGAACCCGACTTAAGTTAGATCAGTTTTATTTCTGACTGGATTTTTGGATGATGGTTTTGTCCTGGGTTGGGAAATCTTAACTCTGGCATGCCTAGGTGTGAGTTAGTTTGTGTGGATCTAGTTAGTTAGTAATCTTAGTAAATTATTCTTTAATTATATAGAGCATTTGGAGAGAACGCTTCCTGAGCTCATAGAGAACACCATTACACTTGGTAAATTATATTATACATTTATTTCAATGAGCTGTTACCCTAATAGGCCAGCATCTATTCCTATTTTGAGTCATTAGCGAAATCACAATCAGTACCCTGACAGTCTAATTAATTTATTTGAAGCCACTTAAAAAAAAAAGAAGACACAATAGCATAGCGAACCATGCTTAACTATTCACCACAGCAGTCTATCACAGTTATAGTGAGGTATTTAAAAATAGGAACTGTATAGTTTGTATCATTAGGGAATTATCTCTAATTCTAATTTGTAAGTAATATGGGCTAGATTTAAAATGGTACTTCTGGTTTGCAGGTTTTCCATGTAGGACAAATTGATGGCAGGAAGCTTTCTTAGTTATTCACAGGGGCTACATGAGTAACCGTCCAAGAGGGTCCAGGCAAATGGCAGGCAGGTGATTCTCCACTCGTAACTTTCCACAACAGGCCCCAAAGGCCAGCGTGCAGCTCACTGAGGAAAGAGGACTCGAAATGCTCCTGCTTGCAGAGAAACGCACCCCAAGGAGCTCCGACATTTTCTCCTGGGATGGAACAACGCTCATATGCCACGGTATCATCTAAAGAAAAAAAAAATTAGTAATAATAACCATTAAAAATTAAAAAGGGGGATGTTTATAACAGTGCCACCTAGTGACTCACATAACTGGGGCCACCTTCCTCCTATGGCATCGCTTCTAAAATACAGGGCCTATGCACCACACTTCTATTTTTTTTTAAACATGTTTTGTTTTGTTTTGTTTTTTTCCTCCAGGAGCGTGTTTCTTCCCGGGCCGAGACCTCCTCACCTGATAACCACAACTGTTACCTCAAAGGGCGGCACCGACCGACGCCCTCCT